TCCCCCCCCCCCCCCCCCAAAAAAAAAAAAACCCGATTAATTTCAACTGCAAAAAGTTGATCAAAAACATTCTTCACAAGATTGATCATTTTAAATCACAAAAATATATTCCTTTATTGAGTTGACATTATCAAAACTAGTAGCATGAAAATTGATCAACTGGAAATCTAGTATTTTGTTGCTGTTAAACTAAGACACGAATTCACCATCCATTTGAAAAACTGTCAGCAGCCAGCGGTACACTAACTTCTGACGAAGGGCCTTCGCTAGAAACTTTGGTATTTTGCAGGTATTTATATCGCTAATCACCGCTTGAAATTATGAATAAAACAAGTTACTTTTATGAATTCGCAGTCGAAACTAAATTCACTATTAAATCTATAAAGTATACTGAAACAATTCGTACAGTTCCCTCCGCTTACGCATCTCCGCAGTCCGCACAATTTGATCCGCAAAGAGCGTTCCGCAATTTCATACTCGTTCCAGTTTCCTGAACCGATGAGTGGTTACCAAGCGAAACAAAAGTGAGTGGTTACCAAGCAAAACAAAAATAAAAAGAAATTTTTGAAGAAATTTGTTTGTATTTTCATTTATGGTTTAGATTTGAAATCTTAGTTTTTATTGAACGATTCAGTAATGGTAAGTTTATCTATTACTTTATAGTATAGGAAGTGAACTTACGTAGAAAAGCTGAAATTTTCAACTTTCTCATTGATCCATTGAATGCCAACACACTCCAGTGTCCTCTTGATGAGTAAAATTGTCTGGGGTTTAATAGACAGAGTAAAATAATAAAGTAGGGCGCATTGGAGGCCAATGGAAGTTTATGGGTTAACTAGATACATGGGCAGATAGTCTGATTAACAGTGGCGGCGCCAAGGGGGGGCAAATGCCCCCCCAAAATTATTTTTTGCCCCCCCCATTTTGCCCCCCCTCAAAAAAAAATATTAGTCACTAAGAGCGACTAAATGCTACACAAGTGTTCTGTCGTTATCGGAAAATGTATGGCTTATAAGTTGTCATTACTCATTTGTGAATGCGCGTATACATGAAACTGTTTTTTACAGTTTCAATATTAGTTTGTAAATCTCTGAATGGTAAAACTTGCCAATACTCCAATAATACGTTCCAAAAAAAAGACAAAAAAGCTTTAGTTTGGCAGAGTTAAATTCTCAAACGTGTAAGGCAATAATAAGATGAAAGTATCACGAAATTATTTGAATAAACCACATCGCATATATGGGGGGCGAATGTCTTAAAGAGGGGCGATATTCCTAGGGTATTCGCCCCACCCCCCTGGGAGGCGATATTCCTAGGATATTCGCCCCCCGGGGGCGATATTCCTAGGAATATCGCCACGTTTTGAGGGGGGGGCGAATTTCCTGGGGGGCGACCTTTTTAAAAATTCTATCTTGCCCCCCCAAAATTTGAGTTTGCCCCTCAAATGCCCCCCCAAATTTGGAAGCCTGGCGCCGCCACTGAACATCCGTAGAATACGAAAGTATTTAACTCGCCAGGATGTGGAGTGTTTGGTGCATGCACTTATTTCAAGTAAGATTGATTACTGTAATCAGGGCGCTATAAAACACGGGCGGTGAAACGGAGATAGCGCCCCTGATCTTTGTGTGATGCGCGTACCCCCCGTATACATTAATTTAATGTCAATAAAAATGGAATTGGAATGTTTATGCAAAAAAGAGCTGAAAAAACTAAAGTAAAAACTGTTTTTTGCACATTCCTAAACAACTTGATGGTTTGAAGACATTGTTGAATTCATTTTCTGTATATCTGATGAAGGAAAGAGGGCTTTAAAAAGATTCATCATGAGTGAAATAAAAATTTGAAAAGGAATCGAGCTGATCGAATGTGGGCATACTCTAAAAATATTATACGAAAATTTTGGTATGAAATGGGATATTTTACTTCATAATGCGAAGGTAGGATAAACATTTTCACAGTAAGAATATTCTGACATTGCTTGGCTATTATTTTTCAATAATTATATAGCCAAAAATTGACCATGCATGCATTTAAAACAGCTAGAATTTGAAAAAAACAACTACAATTTGTTCGAACAATTTGAAAACTTAAATATATAACCGTTTTTGAGTTAACCATGAGCCGGCCTGCTCGGAATCCATTGAAAGTTCATTGTAAAGTGTTTTTTACTAATTGATTTGATTTCTATTATTGGTATAACTAACTGCCGCCGACACTCCAAAAATATTCAGTGTGAATCTTTTTTCGTGCGACTGCAGTCGTTGACATTTAATACAGTGACAGTGTTACGGAAAACTATAAAGGCTGCAAAATACCTCCACTTTATGAAAAAAGCACAAAAAAGCCCCGTTCAATTTTACGTGAGACATAAAGCCAAGTTAAATGTCTAAAATTTGGTGTGTTCAAATTTATCTCAACCTATCTCAACGAGGAGAAAACACTATTTTAAATACGTCCGCGCTTTGTCAAAAAAGAAAAAATGTCGTCAAAATCGAGTTCAAAATGCATGTCTTTTCCTCAACAATCGCTTCGTTCATTTTGCAAGTGAAATAGATACCAATTCTAGCAATATAAACTGATACTAGATACTTCAATAAACATTTATAGTATGTATTTGCCAGGGTGGAAAGTTTGTAGGTTGCGCCAGGGCGTAGTAAAACACGGTTCTTTTTCAAAACGTAAACATGGCCGTATTCTCTCGGCAGTTTGTCGAGCTGACATGTTGGAATTCAAGGCTAAAAAAATATGTTTCGACGAAAAAGTCTGTCTTCTTTTGATAAATTTCTGATATATTATGACTCGATTTCAGTTTGTACAATTTTTTAGGGGATGTTTCACACCTAGGAAAAACACTACATGCAAAAATACAATTTTTCCGCGGTTCTTTTTCAAAACGTAAACATGGCCGCATTCTCTCGGCAGTTTGTCGAGCTGACATGTTGGAATTCAAGGCTAAAAAAATATGTTTCGACGAAAAAGTCTGTCTTCTTTTGATAAATTTCTGATATATTATGACTCGATTTCAGTTTGTACAATTTTTTAGGGGATGTTTCACACCTATAAAAAAAACTACATGCAAAAATACAGTTTTTCCGCGGTTCTTTTTCAAAACGTAAACATGGCCGCATCCTCGGCAGTTTGTCGAGCTGACATGCTGAAATTCAAGGCTAAAAAAATATGTTTTGATGAAAAAGTCTGTCTTCTTTTAAAAAATTTCTGATATATTATGACTTGATTTCAGTTTGTACGATTTTTTAGGGGATGTTTCACACCTAGGAAAAAAACTACATGCAAAAATACAATTTTTCCGCGGTTCTTTTTCAAAACGTAAACATGGCCGTATTCTCTCGGCAGTTTGTCGAGCTGACATGCTGAAATTTAAGGCTAAAAAAATATGTTTCGACGAAAAAGTCTGTCTTCTTTTAAAAAAATTCTGATATATTATGACTTGATTTCAGTTTTTACAATTTTTTAGGGGATGTTTCACACCTATAAAAAAAACTACACGCAAAAATACAATTTTTCCGCGGTTCTTTTTCAAAACGTAAACATGGCCTCTAAAATGGCCGTATACGCTGTACTTTATCGAGCTGACATGATCTATATATTGTTTTTGAAACTAATTGTTTTTGAACTAATTATGTCTTTGACGGCTTGGGGAATGTATCTAAAATCAAATATTGTGGCAATATAATTAGATTGAACAATATTTAAAATGTTCCGCTTGATATTTTAAAAACTTTCGTGTTAACTTGCGTTGCTTCTCCTTGCGATACAAATGATGAACAGCACTATGTTCAGGGAAAAAAGTTATAGCAAAAAAAGTCCAAAAAAGTCCGACTCTTAATTTTAATTATTCTCAAGTATGTTAATTTGGGAAACTTTTTGTGCTATCAAATTCACCTAGGACTACCTAGAGTGTTAAAAAACTCGTATTAAAACCTGACTTTGTGCGCAAAAATAACAAATTTTGAAGGGAACAAAAATCAAAACATTTCTTAAAACATTGACATTTTACAACGCAATGCGCTTTTTGTTTATTTTAATTAAGTAAAGCTGAAGTATAATAGTGTTTCTTTCAAATTACGTTAAATAATTATATAATAATTTAAAACTTACCTATATTTTCGTTCGTTATTTCGTAGTCTTTGGCAAATCTTTTTGTTGCCATTTTTGTGCCGTTCTTTTTGTATTTCTCGCAAAACGCGCGCTTTCGCCAGTCTCCAGCCGCATCACACATAGATCAGCGCGATTACCGCGCGTTTCCTCGCCCGTGTTTTACTACGCCCTGCTGTAATGGATTGCTTTACGGTATTCCAGCTGTTCATATGACGAAACTCCAACGTGTTCAAAACAATGCTGCAAGATTGGTCACCTGTATTTCACGATTCAGTCACATTACACCCGTCTTGGACGCCCTACACTGGTTGCCTGTTGTTTACAGGATTCAGTATAAAATTTTATTGTTAACTTTTAAATGCATACATGAACTAGCCCCAAAATATTTAATGGATCTTATTAACATTAGAAGGCATACTAGGTACAGTTTAAGATCATGTGGAAGTTTGACACTATTGCCACCAACAGGAAAATCTTTGACGACTCTTGGTGGGAGAGCATTTAAATCAGCTGCTCCAAAACTTTGGAACGTTATGCCAGCATATATTCGTAATATGGACAATTTAAATCTATTTAAAAAGGCATTGAAAACCTACTTATACAGAATGGCCTTCGAACATTGAAATACTTTTTTATAAAGTGAACTCTAATTTTAGATGTAAATAACTATAATATAGTAACTGTAATTTAAATTTTAGATTTTCATGTAATGCGCATATGAACATATCTACATGGCAATATGCGCAATATAAGTTTAATTATGTTAATGATGTTAATGTTGGACAGATTCAAAAGAAAGGCTATTATTACAAACCTAGACTAGAGATAGACTGGTTAAATTACAAAACAACAAGAAACAAA